TAAGCTTTTATATCCCAGATTTTCTACTAAAGAATTTAATATTAATACCGAGAAATACTTTTTACGTAATTTTTGTTTCTATAAAACAGTAAAAAGTTAAACCACCATGATAATGCAAAGCCTTTCATTCAATAATTTAATCGCAGCAATATCATGACAAGGTAATCAATTGTTCCTTTCTTTTTCATTATAAAAATTTACTTTTGCATCTACATACATTTACGATTATAAAACAATCTAAAATAATTTCACTGTTTTTGACTATAAAAAGGAACATTGATCACTAGTGTCGGGTAAGACCCAGGCAAAAACGATGTTTAATTGTTCAATAACTTTCAACTGACGATCGCCTTTTAACACATTTTATGTAGTTTATTAAACGAGTTGAATATATTTTTTATTTATCCACCATATTAATACTGTTTGGTTGGGCACTACCTATGCGAATAAAAACCCAATAAAACGATAAAAATGAATCCTTTTACTTTGTAATAATTTTCATTAAAAAACCACGGTCAACAAATTAATTTTATTTAAAAACAAAAAATCGGTCATTTTTTAAACTTATAAAAGCATAGATGATAGATATTTGAGATTTTTTTATATATGTATAAAATTGCCCCACATTACAAAAAGTCAAAAATCACCTTAATTATGCAATATCAACAAAAGCTCTATGTACCATTTTTCATAATTATTTTTCTGTGTTAAAACAATTAATTTGTTGACGAAGATAATGTCTGAAATAAAAATTAAAAGGAAGCTGTTTTGATATAAAATTGTACAATACAATCTCTCAAACAAAGAAGCACACAAAACAAGTCTATATAATCCTCTTCTGAATATATTATTTACAGTTTTCTTTACAAAGAACGTACTGGGAAATAAAATTTATTATTTTAATACAAAAAATAAGATTTTTTTTCTGAAATTGTACCCTTTTTTTTAATGAAAATATTCATGACATTAATTCTCTATTTCTTATTTGTGTTAGCTTTGTTTGATGCATCAGTTAGCACAAATAAAAGAAAAAACATAAATAATACGATTCGTTCCTCTAATGTAGCTCTTTGTTAATTTTATTACTTGTAAAGGCCACATTGCCAGATTAAGTTAGAAATGTTAAAACTGCAAAAAGAATATGTTGCAATAATAAATGCTACAGAAACCCTTATCACACTACCAAGTATATAACTTACTATATTTTCTAATATCACCATGTTATTATTAAGTATTGTATAGTTATTTATAGCAAACGTTACAATAATTTATGTAATTTAAAAGTATGTGTTGTAATTGTTGTATTTTAAAAAATTAAAAAACATTAACATAAGTAAAAGTTTCGGCTCTCGCTTTTCGTTACTCTAATCTAAGCTGAATATTTTACTACCACATCTTTAACTCCATTTCTACCAAAATAATAATTTTACTTCCCAGTTAAACAAGACGAAGAAAAAACCAATTCGACAGCAATGCGAGCATGTTTGTTTGCACTTCGATAAAATGTCTCACGGGTTATTGTTAAGTTAGGCACACGTCGTTCCTTGCAAATATAATCATTATCTTAACAACAGTTTGTTCGACTTTTTTTCTATCAAGAAATTTAAATGCATTTGTTACTTAATTTTATGTAGTTTTTTTATTCCTTTGCGTCGAGTCTTTCGCACATGAAACGGGAAGGCCTAGCGGCCCTTTCCTATCGCTAGTGACCTTTTGCCGCGTCTTTGGCCGCCAAAATTAAAGGCGTCAAACTCGCCAGAGGTCGTGCCATTTTTAAAAATTGATGCTACAACCCATACAAAAAACACTACTTAATATACTATTTTTCAAAGTTAAATTCTTATTTAATTATCTATACCCTACTAATTCAAGTTGATAAGACAGCATACCTTTAATAAGTCCCTCGCTGATGACCTTTTGTCGACCTCAACCGCCAGACATTGATCGAGAAAATCTTGAAACGCTGGAGAAAGTTTTTCCTTGTCTTTTATTTCCGGTTTACCGTTAGTGGCGATCAAATACAGAGCCCTGAGGGGATTTTCATTCAAGTATGGCGGCTCGCCTTCTATCATTTCAATTGCCATTATTCCTAATGACCATACGTCCACCTGTTAATTATTAAAAATACATATCAAATTTAATATGTACTAAAAAAGGCAAAAAGTGCCTACTTTTGGACCGTACTGTTTCCTTGTTACAACCTCAGGAGCCATCCAATATGGTGTCCCTACCATCGTAGTTCTCTTGGATTGTTCAGGACTTATTTGTGCACAAAAACCAAAATCGGCTGTAAAATACAAAATAAAATTTAATCAAGAGCATTGATTCTTAACCGGGACTAGCAATAATTTTATTTGGTTATGAAATCATAAAATTAAGTCGAGATTTACGATTTTTGTAGCCAATATATTTCCATTTATATTTCAGGTATGGTATACCTACTGAAAAACTGAGAACACGTTTTGTTCAGTGGATTCTCCACCCTAAAAAGGTTTTGATTGCTGCTAGTATCTTCTTTTTCTGTTTGATAGTTTACAATTTGTAATAGCGTTTTTTTTTTTTAAAGTATAAACAATTTAATCAACTTCATTTCCCAAAAAATAATAGAGATTATATAAGAACATACACATTCACCGCAACAAAACCTCGATATTATTAAAAAAAAAACAATTCTTTAAACCAGAAGTTAGGTTTACTTGGTAAAAAAATAGACCAACTATAATTATTTATTTTACAAACCGAACTTTTGACTCACTTAATTTAACGGAGCCGTCGAGACCAAGTAAAATATTGTCTGACTTAATGTCTCTGTGTATCACTTGATTGCTATGCAAGAAGTCGAGGGCCTGTAGCACCTCCCTGCAAACGGCCGCGATCTGACCCTCATCCATACATGTTTCGGTCACTACATCCGTTAAGGAACCCCCAGGAAGATATTCCATTACGACCCACAATTCCTCCGAAACGAGGTAACTGTCTAAATAGTTGACGACATTCATGTGTTTGTTCTCTCTCATGACTAGAATTTCGTTAATGATCAGTTCTTTTTTCGGCTGCTGAGATAAATTCATCTGCTTTATAGCCACCTCCATTCCAGTCGAAGTTTCTATTGCAGTATAAACAGTACCAGATGCCCTAAAATAACAAAAGATGACAAACTACAGGTATTAACTACATAATAATAACTTTTAAGAGCCGAATGTCTTTGATACATAGATATTTTTTAGAGGATTAAATCCTAATGTATGCTATAAGTATTTTGTATTAGTTAAGTGTAACTCACTAAAATTCCTTACGAGTCAAAAAAATCTCTGTAAGAAGCTAAACCTCTTAGATGCTTGAAAGATTTAACTCACTGAAGGTTTACATTGCTACAAAAATATATTTGATTTAATTTTGAGTTTTTCTCTTCTAGGATTTAATCTGAATTCCTGCAGAAAAATGTATAATATAAAATTACCCTTGTCCAATTTTTTCCATTTTCGTATATTTCCTATTCGGATCACCTACTGAAACGATACTCCTCAATTTTTCTAGTATCTCTTCATCTGTCATCTTCTTCTTCCTTTTCTCCGATGCACCCCGCGATATCTCCGAACCCGCTTGGTTTTTATTTCGGTCAAGCATCGGGGCGCCGGGTGGAGAATTTGCATTTGCAGCGTGAGTTGGTGTTGTATGCACAGGACTCGGGCTGTGAGCAGGTGTGCCCACAGTGTTGTTGGTAGTGGGCGGAACATCTTCGATTGGTTTCGTGTACTAATTGAATAATAATAAAACAATGTTTACATGAAGAAAAAAACAGATGAAATATAATAAAACTCCAATAATAATTAACTAGTGGGTTATTGAAGAAAATCTTCGCATATTACAGCTTTTACTACTGTGACATGTAGAAGAGTAAAATTAATATCTGCATTCTCATTAACTGAAAATGAGAGCCAAAAACAGCCAATTGCGTGCAGAATGTAAGTGGAAAAACAGTTACACTAGTTTCACGCATTTCTTCCTTTGGAAGCCACATTTTGAATGCAACAAGCATCTTTCGTTTAGATATGCTTTAATCGTAAGATTATTACTGTGTTTCTTATTAGTACTTTATCATACAGTTACCGGAAACTCATTTTTTTTGTTTAACTCAGTTTATTTTGAGTTTAAGAAGCGATAAATAACGTATTGTTATATTATCTTATAGTGTAAGTATTTCATTATGTATGCTACTCACAATCAGCATTATCTAATTTGAAATGCAATACATGAAAGAGAGGATGTTAATTTTAAAAAAGGGAAACGGAAATTGTATTTAAATAAAAAGAAAATATTGAATCGATATTACTGAATAAATTGATAAACAAAAAAATCTTTACAAAAGATGCAAGCAAGTTAGTCATAGACACTTTTATTAAAATATACATGAAATATGTTTATCAAAAATCGAATGTGTTACCTAATAAATTAATGATATAATCAATTATTTATAAGTAATCTATATTTTCATTAAAACGTTAAAGTTAAAAACAAAAGCTAATATGTATAATAAAAAAGGAAATTACTTACAATACTTTTAGTCTTTTCTGGTCGACTTGCAATAGGAGGTGGTGGCGGTTCGTCTTCGATTTCGGAACTTGGAGCATGAGCAGGGCTATGATAAGACTGCGGCGCTCCTTCAATATCAGTTGGAGTTGTACTGCTGGGGCTGGAACTGGAAACCCTGCTCAAAGAAGACCCTAAAAAAAATAACGATATAAAACATCGTTATATAACAAAAATTAAAATATGTACCTGAATGAGTGGTTGTTGTTGTTTTTGTCATGTACTTTGCATTTGGGGGTTCTTTTGAACTACTATCATACCAATTAAGGACATCCAAAACAGCCTGCGGGTTTTTCTTTTGTTCTTGTTTGCTAATATTAGAGTTCATCAACAATCGAGACCATGCTTCAGGCATGCCCTGTAAATAAGTCAAGGATAGTTACTTACTGAATTACTAATGTAATGATCTGATTCCAATTAAACTAAATCTAAGATTACATTTACAAATAACAGCTAACTATTCGTGATAAGAATTAACTTATAAAATCTACTGAACACAACATAACATACATTTAAGAAGATCTCCATTAACACATGAAGAGTGGTTAGAACAAACCCTTTCACTTGTTAATGAATCAAATTTTTATTAATAAATGTAATAAATGATCCACAACTCAATAAAGAACATGTTCTCATCACTTTATATGGTATAACAACTTTCATTGCATTGTTAATTTATTGCTACCTTAAGCAAATTGTAATGTAAGAACAGCCAATTAACATCTGTTCATTAAATGTATCAATGCAAAATGTGCACTTAATAATTAACTAAATAAATGCATTGAAAATGGTCAAAATCTTTCTACACTACAATGGTCAAGATTGATAATTTGTCTTGAATGGTACATAATAAAAAGCCCATTTAAGAAATGTCAAAACTGGGAGCAATTATATGAAGAGAAAATTTTCAAAAAGATCATGCAATAAATAACATTTTATTTGCAAATTAAATTAAAACATGCATTACTTACTGTTAGTGGCAGCTTGCAAAACAAAATTTGTTTCATTAATTAAAATCAAGAAGCAGGAAAAGCACCTTGACCACTTTTTTTACAAAGGTTTCAAATTATATTGTGCCATTTACTATAAACTTACCGTAAACTCCCCTGATATGGGATCAAAGCCTACATGAACTGTGTGTTCAAAATTTGTAGGATAAGAAATATTTGGTTTATCAGAAGTTATTGTAGATTTGTTGCTTTTAATTTTGGATTTTAAAGTCTTCTTCTTTCGTTCAGCATCTTCAGGCTCTTTTGGCAAAGGTCTATCTACTGCCAGGGCACTATTAGTTAAGTCTGTTCCTCTATTTGATGTTAATCTAACCGGAGGGGCTGGAGGTTTCTCTTCATCAGAAGACATTCTTACTGTGAAAATATAACAGCTGAGTAGACTCTAACTTAGGTAAACTGTAGTCCGTAATAAGCGACTCCGTTTCGGCGTATTGTATTATCTACTTCAATCAAACTAAAATTTCTTTAGTGGGCGCGCCGTATGCGTCAGCAGCCCTTTCTTATTGTGAATAGATAGATTCCTGAGGAGCACAGTAATTCAGAGAATACCCACCTAGAGATAACAGGCACTAGGAACGATAATCACAAATATTTACACCAAAATAAAACCTCAAGCCACTGGAAAGTTATACTGGCTTCATTTATTAAAATAAAAATACTTAAGTTTATCACAAAAAACAATTACATTTCTTATGGACACCATTCAATGGTGTTTCCGAGTCCACTAAAATGGCAGGCTTATCATTTTTACGAAGCGTGAGGTACATAACAAACCTATCTTTTGTCCTTTTCTCCTTCATGCAATTACTTTTAAAAGAACTATAAGCGTAGCTCTGCTCTTAGGGCATAATATCCCTTAGTTATTTATATTTTTTAGAATGCAATCGTGCTTGTCAATTAGAGACTTTATTTTTGTAGAGTTTATTAACCTTTCTGTCAAGTAGGTTTTATTGTGCATTTGTTGAAGTTTATTGCTGTCTAAGCAAATTAATTAAAAGTGTGATTAAATAAATGAATAACTAATACTGTTAACATGTAAATAGACGCTTTTATAAAAATTATATTTTATACTTGTGTTTCTCATTAAATACATACTCAATACATTTAAATTACAAATACAAACCAAAAATAAAAATGAAGAAAAAGGTATGTTTACACACCATATTATTGTTTATCATTAGTATAGTTTTACTCTCCAGGTCCTTTTAATGGGTAAAAGTGGTTCCGGTAAAACAAGTATGAGATCTATAATTTTTGCCAATTATATAGCCAGAGATACCCGAAGGTTAGGAGCAACAAGTATGTGCCAATGTTTTTGTGGTACAACTTTTCATTGATTTATTTGCAGTTGATGTGGAGCATTCACATGTTCGATTTCTTGGAAACTTAGTGTTAAATTTGTGGGATTGTGGTGGACAAGAAGCATTTATGGAAAACTATTTTGCTTCTCAACGTGACAACATATTTAGGAATGTGGAAGTACTAATTTATGTATTTGATGTAGAAAGCAGAGAACTTGAAAAAGACATGCACTACTACCAATCATGTTTAGAAGCTATAATGCAGAATTCTCCTGAAGCAAAGATATTTTGCTTAATTCACAAGATGGATTTAGTTGCTGATGACCAGAGAGATCTTATATTCAAAGAGAGAGAATCAGATTTAAAAAGATTGTCAAAACCTCTTGAGTGTACCTGTTTTAGAACATCAATATGGGATGAAACTCTTTATAGAGCTTGGTCAAACATTGTATATATGCTTATTCCTAATGTTAAGGCCCTAGAAAATAGTTTACAACAATTTGCCAATATTGTGGATGCTGATGAAGTTCTATTATTTGAAAGAGCTACTTTTTTAGTAATTTCTTATTGCCAAAGGAAAGAGCACAGAGATGCTCACAGATTTGAGAAAGTTTCCAATATTATAAAACAATTTAAATTGTCCTGTTCAAAACTTGCTGCTCAGTTCCAAAGTATGGAAGTTAGAAATTCTGTTTTTGCTTCTTACATTGATATGTTTACTAGTAACACATACGTAATGGTTTGCATGTCTGACCCTCAAATCCCTTCCGAAGTTACACTTATAAATATTAGAAATGCCAGAAAACATTTTGAAAAGTTAGAAAAAGTATCCAGTTCTGCTGGCTCTCTTACACATCGTTAATTTTATCCTAAACTGAATTATAAGATTTTTTTTATGTATTGTAATTTAACTAAATACATCAAAGACGCATGTACTTTCATCGATTTTTTTTATTAGCAAAAAATTCCTTTTTATTTAATGATTGAATTTCTTATCTTGGACTGTTTAATAAGTTATAAATAAAACGTATTTTTGCAATAAAGTTCCTAATTTGCAGCATTATCTCATTTGATCGATTATTATACATAATCATATGCATAATTGATTCTTATCAAAATCATTCAACCATGAATGTTACCTTCAAATTATATTATTTCAAAGACTTTACTATTTTTCCCAAATTAGTATAAGACATTCCGAATTGGAATAAACGCGAGCCAAAACAGTATCGATTCTATGTATATATTTCCGTAAGAAACAAAATCAACATTTCTATCGTGTTCGTAGCAGATAATTGGTATTTTCATGTTATTGAGCATAATTAATGTTAAGTAGATAAAGTGCGGACCTTGAACTATAAATAAGTCGAATTAAATTGTATTAAATTACAAACTAAAATTGTTTTCAAATGGATCGCATATTAAGAGGAATTATGCGATATCGGCAACTCGATAGGAAAACTATGGTTGAACAATTTAAACAAGTTAAAAATAATCCAACGGTAAGGTGTGGTAAAGGCTTTTAAAATTAATTATCTCGTACTATAGATAAAAAGTGAATAAGTAATGGCATAGATAGCCGATTTAAAAGACTTTGGCATGCGTTTTAATCATATAGCCAGTAACTAATAAATAACTTTGCAGCCAAAAGCAGTGTTTTTTACATGCATGGACAGCAGAATGATTCCCACACGATTTACAGAAATGAACGTGGGGGACATGTTCATAGGTAATTAAAAGTAAAACGCTAAATATCGAGTACAATCCATTTAACATTTAAACTTTCCAGTTAGAAATGCTGGCAATGTAATACCCCATTCGCACCATTTTCTCGATGAAATAACATCAAATGAACCAGCAGCCTTAGAATTAGGATGCGTTATAAATGATATAAGGCATATAATTGTTTGTGGACATAGCGATTGTAAAGCTATAAATTTACTTTATCAACTACAAGACACAAATTTTTCTTCTCAGGTTTGTCATTTCTACATTAGAGTAATAATTTTACTCTTCATACTTTTAGTAGTGCTACGATAAATTTTCTGCACATGTGTGTTAGATATATTAAACTTATCCCAATTTATTACAGGTAAATCGTAGAAAATCGCCAATAAGAGCATGGTTGTGCGCTCATGCTTGGTCCAGTTTAGAAAAATTTCAGCAGCTAGAATTAACAGATTATTCTATGCCCCTAATTTTTCAAGCCGAAACTCCTCAAAGAAAGTTTGTTGCGTATATCGATCCTGAAAACAAATTAGCGTTAGAAGATAAACTTTCACAGATAAACGCTCTACAGCAGTTACAAAATATAGCCAGTTACGGATTTTTAAAAAGTAGACTCGAAAAACATCAACTTCACATTCACGCACTGTGGTTCGATATTTACACAGGCGAAATTTATTATTTTAGTAGACAAGCTAAACAATTCGTTATCATAAACGAAGACAACATAGAAACGTTAATGGACGAAGTGGAAAATTATTACATGTAACACAAGAATTATTATCAGTACTACACTGCTAAGGTTGAATATATGGGAACAATCTCATTGTATTTTTCCAGGTCTTATTTTTTATACAAAAATTAATATACTAATATATGTACAATGAAGAACAAGTACATATTAAATTCATTTTTATTTTTATAATTTTAAAAATCTAATAATAATTGAGGCATGTATCTCATAATTAAATTTATTAGTATAAATGTTTTGATGGAAATGGTTGTTTTATCATCATGTATGTATAAATGTAATTAACTTACTATAACGCGAATAAATTTAACAGTTTTTATGATTTATTTATTAGTTCTATCATCAACAAGATGCCCACTTTTCGGATCTATTTTTTCCAATTTACAATATATAATGCATAATTTCAGTCTACCTTTTTAGGCACTGAGATAATTAATAATAATAATACATTTTGTACCACCGTTATGTTCAATAAGCTTACACAACATTTTAACAAACAATGACTACTGCTACTTACAAAAAAGATTTAGAATAATAATAATTAGAACAAGAAATTGCGCAGGCATAATAACAACTGTATAGATAGTAGAGAAAAAAGTAATCATTATTAAAAAATACTTTAATAAAATATTTACTAACCGGTGTTTATTAATATTTGAGGCATTTATAAGTACACTAAACACCATAAATCAGAAATTGATCTCATTTAAAAACGTATGAAAATATAGAAGGAAATTAAAATTCTTAAATTAATTAAACTTGAGACTCCATTTATTATGTGATCCTGTAACTAGCAATAAGGTAGAACAATACAAAAAATTGCACGAATTTGGTCTAGTGAGGGACTGTGGTCGATAGAAGTATGAAAATGGACCTCATAAGAGTGAGTAACAAGTTTTCTAAAAAATTTCTTTTATTGTTCCTTAACAGTTATTGTAATAATTCATAATTATATGCAATTATTTTAGTGGCCAAAATTAGTTTTCTTTCCTATATTTTGAAAAATGTGGATAAACACAAAAAAAAAAGAAGGCAAAGTTTAATTCTTTTGAATTGTCAGGATGATCCTAAATTTCATGAACTATTACAATCAGAAACAGCAAAAAAATTTAATAAACAGTAATGGCTTAAAAAACTTATCAAACTCGCTTATCGACCCTAGTCCTTGTCAATCAATATTAAATGGAATAACAATGATAAGTATTTAATTTTCTAAAAATTTCAATAAACACAATTGAAAAAGAATTCGGTAAATTACATAAAAAACATCAAATTTAAATGTTAAGTGCTCAATGTTAAAATTAGTAGAATAGCCAATTAAAGTATAAGTAATTGTAATAAATTTAAAATATTATCCCTTGTTAACACATACTAACTTGTTTACATCTCACAGACCATCAAACTATATCATTTATATGCATTTTATCATACCTTAACGTTTATTTTCAATTTGTAGCATCAGTAGTATACAAAATAATAAATTATTTATGGAGTAAATTGGCCATCCTACAGTTAAAAAGAGGTAAATTTATTGAAATTGCACACGCTTTTTTAAATGTGACCTCTAATTTCACAATTATTAATCAGTCATGAACATAACAGTTTAGAAATGCACAAAAATATTTCATTAAACTATATACCATATCATTTCAACAAATTTTCTCAACAAGACTCGTTCCTATCATATGTGACATTTTCCCTTTTTTTAATTGCATTAGAAAATTTAAAAAACTGTAACGTATAAGATGTCCGTCCGTTGTTTCCTGTAAAACTAAAGTTGGCGAAGTGTCCATTTTCACAATCCGAGTGTTTTGGTGGTGATGTAGATGATGAAACGGAATTACAACTTCCATCCTTTTTTTTAGTAATAATTTACCATGCATTTTTACAGCTACAGATGCTGTCTCTCTTGCGTCCAACGCGTCCGAAAAAATTGCCGACACTTTATTTTAAATCCTTTTATTAAGACCGATAACCATAAAATTGTTAATTGTATTTTATATTCAATATTTTACAATTTAATAAAAAGTTCACCTTTTGCAACTGTTTCCTTTCTCTTTTAATATTAAAACGAATCACTGCACTGAGTCTAGCCCGATCCGAAATGTGGGCCACTGTGTTTTCATTCAATTTAAACAACTATCATCCTCATCATTATTATTTTAATTCAATAATAATAATAATAATAATTATATATGTAATC